GTGTGCGATGATTTGCTAAGAGATGCTATGATGTATGTGAAGTCCCTGCCTTCTCCAAAAAATGTATAAAACTGCTGCAAACCCTGGGCTCGGGGCCTCTCAGCGTCACCAGTTGCTGTGTGTGCATGCGAAGGACCAAGCTAGCTCGCAATAAACACCTCTTTGCTGCTTACATCCATCTTGGGTCTCTGGTGGTCTTTTGGGGGTCCCGAATTCGAGCATAACACTAGATAAACTGACTAAGATAACCAGCAATAACTAATTTAGACCATGAGACCCTGATGGCAGACAGCTCCTAATGACTGACTTCTTCTCCCAGATCTATCCCCACATTCGGGCAAAACTTAAAAACTGGAACGGGAACCCCTGACCCCTCAGACTGAAGTCCTGGCCACAGCCTTTAAGGTGTACCACGACCAGAATGAGAAGGCCAGAAAGCAAAAAAGCCAGATGCTGGCACAGGCTCTATGGGGACCTACCCCACAAGCCCCTTTGTTTCTGGCCAAACACCCACCACCCAAGATGGCCCCTGGGCCCTGTTTAAAGTGTGGGACAGAGGGACACTGGGCACGAGAGTGCCCAAATTCCAGGCCACCTACACGTACATGCCCTAAATGCCAATTAAGGGGTCACTGGGTCATGGAATGCTCTGGCCTTGAAGGGGAGCCAGATCCACCCCAAGCCCAGACCTGGATCTTTTGGGGCTGGCAACGGACGACTGAAGGGGCCTTAGGACTCCCTCCCTGACGACCACCATCACCTTTCAGGAGCCCAGGGTCACTATTATGGTAGATGGACACCTGACTAACTTCTTTTTAGACACAAGGGCCACTTATTCAGTCTTGAAGGAGTTTTGGGGACCCACTGTTCCATCCTGTTCCCCCATTGTCGGGATAAGGGGACAAACAATCCTTCCCCTTAAAACCCCCATGCTTTCTTGTAGGTCTCACCACCATCCTTTCTCTCACCAGTTTTTGGTATTGCCCCAATGCCCCCTTTTCCTATTGGGAAGGGACATCTTAGCTAAATTCCATGCCTCCATCATACTCCACCCCAGACTTTCTTTTATCCTGGCCCTTGCAGAAGCAGCCCACATGTCCGTAGGCTCCCTTCCTTCTCACCCTCCAGAGGTAAACGCTCAAGTTTGGGACACTTCCACCCCCTCTCTGGATCACTGTGTCCCTGTCAGAATTCATCTTAAGGACCTCAGCGTTTCCCTTGTCAACCTCAATACCCTCTTCCAACTAGCAGTCTTCAGGGCCTACAGCCCATTATTAAGACCAATGGCACAAGGGCCTAATAAGACCTACCCACTCCCCTTACAGCACTCCAATTTTGGCTATAAAGAAACCTAATGGATAGTACCACCTTGTACAAGATCTACGAATTATTAACGAGGCAGTTAGACCCATTTACCCTCTGGTGCCAAACTCCTACTCCATCTTCTCTTCCATTCCTTACTCTTACTCCTACTTCTCAGTCATCGACCTGAAGGATGCCTTCTTCACCATTCCCCTTGCTCAGGATTCCTAGGACATCTTTGCCTTCACCTGGACCACCCCTAAGACACATCATTCCCAGCAGCTTACCTGGACAGTCCTCCCTCAAGGTTTCAGAAATAGGCACCACCTCTAACCTCTAATGGAGGGAGCCCAGAATGACCACCCACCATCCTCCTCCCACAAATACATCTGCTCCACCACACCTGAGAATCCTTTAAATCTCCACATCTCAAGCCTGAGGGTTCCTTCCCCATTCCTGAGGAGGACCTTCCTCAACCCAAGAAACCCTCACAACAACAGGTATCACTCTAGCTCCCCCCTTCTCTTTGCCACCCATCTAACCAGACCTTTAACCAGCCTCTCCTCAGGGATTTCCAGCCGCTTGCTCCCTCGGAGGACACCTGTCCCTTA